CTTTTAGCGTGAACGCGTAATGAGGGCAAGATTGCTTAAAAAATAGTCATATATTGATAATTAAGGTTATAATGAAAGTTAGTAGAAATACAACGGAGTGCAGAGAGCTTAAAATGAGTTGATCGGATGAACAGCAGTTCAATAAAGGACGAAATAATAAAACCTTGTTTTCAAACAAATTAACCCTTGGACGTACGGGGGGGGGGGGGGGGGGGGNGAAGTTTTTAGTAGCTGTTCGTTTATCTCTCGCACAGATTTTGAGACAAGTTTAGTGATGGTCAGTTGCTTTGTACACGGGATATGACGTCATAAGTAGTAGGTGGTCAAGCCAATTTTGGGTGAAAAAAATGTTTTTTCAACTTCTTTCAAGAATAAAAGTAAATTTTGTGGCTAAAATCATGCAAAGTGCTTATTTTTGTGTTGGTTTTCATGTAAAGCACAAAAAATTTCCATTTCTCGCCGTTTTAACCTGATTTCTAATTCTTGGAAAAATCTAAGATGGCGACCATCGTTAGTGACGTCCTAGGCCTTCAGGAGCGCCACCACTCATAAAATATACCTCATCTTGTTAAGAAAATCAAATGCGTAAAGTCTTTTCAAAATACTACAACATATCAAAAACTTAGGAAAGGGGGAATACAATATATAATATCCAATTCATATATCCATGACTAGTACATTCCAGTGTGAGTATTGTCAATGTTTTACATTCAAAAGATGCCATAAATTCAAAAAAAATGCGATAGTCATGGAGGTATGTATAGTGCGCATAATTTTGTAAAGATTAATATAACGTCAAAACAGTGAATGTTGTAACGCAGATTTTTTGGCAGGTTCGTAGGATAGGTTTGTCTTGAAATTTTAAGATATTACGGTGAATCAATCTCACTGAAAGTTTCAGACCTTATTAAATACATTATGAAGATTAATGGGAAGAGATTTTTAAAAATTCGTTCCAGTCGTTTCAGAAATATACAAAAAAGCGCTAAAAGTCCGAATTTTGAATGAAGTTGCACTTATACCGGACTTAAAACGGGTTAGTTTTCAAGATCGCGAGAAGGAAAGTACACCAAAATTCCCAGCATCGAAATATGATATTAAGCAGCATTCTGACGCTACTTAAAAATAATTTGAGTCATTTATAACGTTCTTATTAAATAATCTATCACGGCTATTGAAAATGTAAGGTTTGAAATATATTTTTGTTTTAGTCGGATTCAAACATACAGAATTTTTCACTCCCTACGGAGATTGTTTGCTAAACACCAAACTTTACGTTCCTAGTGTTGGATTTTCGGTAGCTGGTCTAGATCACCCAAAATTCGGCTTTTATCAGTTTCAAAGTTTTTTGTTTATTATTGTCATAGTAACATCGATTTTTATTAAAACTACATTTTCACAAATTTCAATCCATAGCCAATTACTGGTGGAAATTTCATAGCGATCGGACAAGGAAAAAAAAATACTTTTAAGGCGATTGAAAAATATCGATATGGCCTCTCAAAAACTGTATGGCAACACCTTAACGTCCGCTTGATCATTGGGCTGTAGCGCCAACATGGCCAATACGTGAGGAGAATTATACAACGTATATTCAATTTAGTACATTAAGATAAAATAAAAGCTGAACTAAAAAGAAAAAAAATCATATGATTAAATAGGAACCTATGCACCTTTTCGTTGATAATCTTAATATAGACTTGCCTAGGTTTGGTGCCCTAACACCCAGTTCTCCTGAATATTTACTTCCCTCTCACTGGGTTCAAGTCCTCGCTCCTACGTATTTACTTCCGCGACGGGCCGAATAAGTGTTGTGTTCAAACTGCACCAAGGTTGAGCACAAAAACCTATCCGATATTCGACGCTCCATTTTTGAGATCAGCGAGGTAGCTCCCTCACATCATTTGCGTCGCCACAATCGTTCAACTGTTGATTACAGAGACATTTTGGTGGGGTCCGTTATTGGTCAAATAATTTTCAAATTGTCATAATGGTCGCTCTTCAGTCTACATGCATAGGGTTTTAAAATGCCGAAAGACTTCAACATAAGATGGACGGTGCATAATTTATTCGTGTTCGACAGATCTGCAAGAAACCGGAATATATTTGTTTTGTTAATAGCCACCCTGATAACATCTTAACTTGGGAGCACGCTTGAAATGATAACGAACAGAAGGTGAAGACAACGTTTGCCAAATTAACGAACGAACGAACCCCCTTTTGCTTTTAGCTTGAACGCGTAATGAGACGAAATAAAAATAGTAACAAAAGAAATATATTGAGAAGGTTATAATGAAAATTGTTAGAAATAATACAGAGCGCAGAGAGTTGGAACTAAACGGACAGCAGTTCAATAAAGAACGAAATAATCAAACTTTGTTTCCAACAAATTATGACCAAATGACGGTTGCATAAAATTCATCTGTTTATGTTAGTTCTCTAGAGACGGGCTAATTTACTGCGAAATAAATGCACAAAAAATTCAACCCTGAAAATAAAGCAGTGTATAATTTAAAGAAAAGAACATGGATATTATTGGTAAATTATGCTAGGGAAAAAACTTATATATTAACTACCTTTAGTGCCTCTTGCGATGGGTTCTTTACCTGTTTCATTTTTGTTCTAAGATAGACCAAGGTATATATCATGTGCAGCAAAATTTTCGTGGGACATGATTTTGGGCGGATTTCCAGGATTTTCCAAATTTCTATGCGATGAATGCAAAAAAAAAACAAAAAACAAACAAACAAACAAAAAAACAAAGCTGCCAAACTTACGCTCCCAACCTGCACATGACGACCCTTTTAAGGAATCTGAGTTGCGGTAACTTTGCTTTCTTAGAAGCGTTATGCCTACACATTATAATAGCGATCCTTTTTCTCTTAAACTACCAGTACGAATTTTAAATTTCAGTCCTGTTATATTCTCAGAACTAACTCAAAAAGGATAGGCGGGTTGGTACAGGTGGTGTACTACCTAAAAAGTGATTATCAAAACATTGCCAGAAATAAGGGACAAGATGGCGGTTGCGCGTGCGCACCAAGGCCACAATGGCTGCGAATTCGTATAAGAAAATGTATGGAGAAAAGGAAACTTTTTCAAATATATCGATTATGAGCTCACGGGTGTTCGGTGCACGACTCGAAACATGTTAAGCGCTGTGTAACCTTTGCATCTGGGTTAAAAATAGCTAATTAGAAGTAGGTTTACTTACTTCCCGAAGTGGCCACTTTTATTTCTCATTGTACGCTCCATTTCTCCATACATTGTCTTAAAATTTTGCCGAAGTCATGCGAAATACTCGTCGATTAGCGGATAAACCCTTTACTGAAGTAAATTTGCACGACTCGATATCACTTCTGCGATGGAAGATGTTTCGAAAACAGTCCTTAAAAGGACGATTTTTGCACTGGAAAATACTTCCAAACGCGCATTATTTCCCTCAGTTTTCCATCTGTAGTCCAGTAATGGACGCCATAGTTGCGAATGACTTATTTCGGTCGGACAAAGCTTCACAACTCCAAACCTCACCCAATCGCCATTTTGGTTGTTGCTACAACTCCAGAAATGCTTCACGGGATATAAACTAGGTTCCAGGCATTCAAAAATTCTCGATTAGCCTACCACGCTTGGCTTTAAACAAAATTGTCACGAAAATGTCACGAAAATGTCACGAAAGGTACAGCCGCGTACTGTTTTGTTGCTATCAGCCGCTCGGCCTAGTATAAACCTAACATTTTCTTGCAAGAAGTTTCATTCCAGCTTTTTTCTTCGTAAAACAGATCCACAGAGCTCAAATTATTTAAAAAATCGCAGGGGATACGCTTTCCCTGACTACGATCGTTTTTGTCCGCCAGTTTGGAAATGAGATTCCGCTGACAATTAATCACGGGCGCGAAATGTCCACTATTTCTGGCAATGCCACACGGGCTGCGTTTGAAAATTCATGCTAGTACTTGTAGTATCATGAGCGTAGTCTTATCTAAAGGTTCGTATTAAGTAACTTAAAAGGGTGCAAGCCTTGAAACGTTTCTGGCATGAAGAGTTTCATGCCAGGGGATAGCGCCGCCGTAGCTTTGAACTCCATTTCGACGATTTTATGACAAACGGAAAATATCAATTAAAATAACATCCTCTACGAATTGCCAGATCAGTCGTACCTAAAATATGGCCAAGGCTCGTGTCTTATCCAGAATTGTGGAATCCACGATTTTGCAAATATTTGTACCCGCTAAACGCAGACAGGTAATGTGACAATAAACTCCCGCGTAAATTTCAAGGCACAAGGCACCCCTCAATTGCTAGTTACAGTATAAGTGACCCCAAACTCGCACAAATAACAGACAGATAGACAAATTTTAGCTGTCTATCGTCTATATTTACGTAGAAAAATATAAAAGAAAAGCTTAGTTCTGTCATTATTTTGCTCAAATTTCGGAACATCGTTTTTCTATTTGACCTGATGTATTACTTGTCATAGATATGGGGGGGGGGGTAAATGCCTCCTTCCCATCTAGCGATAGATCAATGCAAGTTTAATTTTTTATTTATGAATATTTTGCTTTGGATGAAAATATAGCAGTTTTCTTGCTTTGCTAGGAGTACTCGGTAGGACACCTGTTAACACTGTTTATGGGCCAATTGAGGCGTCATCCTTTTATTGTTTTCGAATCATTTTATTTCATTCTTTCTTCTTGTTTTCTCTCTGTGTGACTGCTTCTCGCATTAACATGCTGTTTTGTTTGCAAATTTCCTGTAGAAAAGGGGGATACTACTGGTAACCATAACACTTAGTGAGGATGAAAGAATGCAGGAATGTTTGGAGTGAGAATGGTACAAGTATTTCTGAAAAAGAAGAAAGAGCCTGGTTTGCAGCATTTATCATCGAGTTTAGTGTCATCTTTTTGCTGAACGCTTTTACACTCGCCATCTACACAAGAAACCGTCACTTACGCAAGCCCAGTACGTACCTGATTATAAATCTGACTGTGGCAGATTTAATGGTGGGAACAGTGTTTGTACTCTTATCATATTTCGAAAGAGATAAACCGGAGAGGGACGTGGTATTTGAACAGGCTTTCAGCTGGCAGTCATTCGTGTATTTGACTTCGAGGGACTTATTTCCAGTTGCTTCACTAGCTAATATTTCATTGATTTCGTTAGAGAGGTTACACGCAACACTTTTCCCCTTTAGGCATTGTCTTATTGGAAGGCGGGTTTACCTTACCACTATTTGTTGTAGTTGGTTGTTCTCCTTGACTTTGTCATCTGTGTTTTCTATTCTTGATTGGCGCGAATCGCCGGCTTTTCCGTATGTATTTGCATCTTACATTTTTCTCTCCCTTCTCATTCTCACAGTTTCATATGTCATAATTATCTCAACTGTCAAAAACAATCCTCCCTCCCCTAATGCTGGACCAGCGCTTTCAAAAGAAAGGAAACTAACGATGACCTTATTTACAGTTACTGCGGTCTCTGTTCTGACCATTCTTTCTTGGGTTATTTGGATTTTTATCGAACTTCACACACAGAGTAAATTATGTCCTGCAGTCTTTTTTCGCATCTATTGCTCGTTAAAAGTAATTTAATTTTTCAATTCTATAGTTAATCCCCTAATATATGCGATAAGAATGCAAGAGTTTAGGAAAGCAGCCAGAAAACTTTTTTTCTACTAAGACATCAGAACTAGCACGAGTCCAACCAATGGAACCTCTCACATTGCCTGTACGTACTCAAGCAATACCTTTTGAAGAAAGAACATAAGAAATGGAGAGTTCCTTAGAAAAGCTCTAACAAGATTGCAGAGGTCTTCTTGCCTAGGTATCTTCTGTAATATTTAATCAATGTAAGAAAGATATGAGTGGCGAAATAATAAACAATGAAATAAGATAAAGTAATAATTAACAAATAGCAAGGAAACTGCGGTGATAAACATTGTTGGAAAATAAAATACAACTGCAGGAGGAACCCCGCCGTCTACGGACACGCTCTTTAGAGTTTAGGGAAGAAGCTAGGAAACTTGTTTTTACAAACTAAGACATTACAATTACAGCGGTGATCATATTGGCGTGAACACCTAAAACATGTCTGGAATGTTTATTGTGATGTAACAAATCACAGACGAGGTCATCACACTACAGAAACCACAGGCAACGAACGGTTTCCTACCTGTCACGGGACAAATTATTTTCATTTTATTTTAACATTCAGTCTTTTTACAAGTAAACAATTGCTTTTCCTTCCTATTTGTTTAATAATAATAATAGCGAAGAATACAGGTTTGAGCGATTTTGAAATAAATTACAAAGCCGATGTGCCGGGCCTACGCCCGCGACGGTTTGGCGCGCAAGTTTTCAAACTTTTCGTAACGATCGAAATCGGTAGTTACGCCTGATCGTAGGTAGTACATAGTAGTTCGAAGGTTCAATCGTTAGTTCACACAAATCGAATCCCCTTGTTCTACAAAAAAATTTTGCAAGGATTGTGCTATCAGAAACGAAAACGATTGTTCATTTTTTATTGTCTTCACGTGATACGTCGTTACATGGAAAGCTGGTCGCCGTTGCGTCGCGTTGGCTTCTACTAAAACTTTTCTTTCTAAAATCGAACGATGTACTGGATGCGGTCCTCGGCACTGATCTTGGGGAGCAGCGGTGTTTTAAATTCCTAATAAGGCAGTTTGTATCCTTAAACAAAACGAAAATAATTTGTTCCATGACCGATCGGAAACCGTTCGTTGCCTGTGGTTTCTGAGGTGTGAAGATCACACCTGTGATTGGTTGCAACACAATAAACATTCCAGCCATATTTTAGGTGTTCACGCCAATATAATCACCGCTGTAACGCGTGTACAACCCATGGAACTTCTTACATTGCCTGTACGTACTCAAGCGATACCTGTTGAAGAAAGAACATAAGAAATGAAGAGTTCCTTCCCGAGCAATAAAAAGGTCAACAACATATATTTTCTATGAAATTACCCTGATTTTAAAAATACAGACATCCGCTTAATTTGGACACTAAAACATGTCCCGTGGGTGTCCGTATTGACCGGTTCCATTGTAATTATTTCAAATATCAAAAAAAATTATTTATTTCGGTGCGATGGCTTACCCTTTTTAGCCGATGATCTCGTCATTTAAGAGGGAATTTGAATGAAAACGGTGCGATGGTGAATGAAAAGTTATTTTAAAGGCGCAAAATTGTGTTAAAAGAAAGTAATGTCGCACACCAAAGTCTCACTAGGTTTTAGTTTGATAGGAATCATGTACCCCGCTCCGAGGTCGTTCAATTCCACAGTCTTGACTTCCGCTTGATTGGGCTGTAGCACTAACATGGCCAATACATGGGGAGAATTATAGGATGTGTACTCAATTTAGTACATTAAGATAAAATAAAAGCTGTATTTAAAATAAAAAAAGTCATATATTATGGGAACCTATGCACCCTTATGTTATTAATTAATATTTTTAAAATAGACTTCACTCCTAAATATTTACTTCCGTCTCAGTGAGTTCCAGTGCTCGCTCCTCCTTATTTACGTCCGCCATGGCGGGGCCGAACAGGTGTTCCCACTGCACCAAAGTATGGTAAAAAACCGATGTGACGCTCCACTTTTAGGATCGGCGCAGTCGCTCCGTCACATAATTTGCGCGCCACAACCGTTCAACTGTTGATTACAGAAACGTTTTAGTGGGGTCCGTTATTGGCATGCATGCATGGTCAAATTATTTTCAAATTGTCCTAATGGTCGTTCTCCGATACATAGGGTTTTAAAACGACGAAAAGTAGATTCAACATAAGATGGACGGCTCATAATTTATTCGTTTATGACAGATCTGCAAGAAACCGGAATAGATTTCCTCTATTAACAGCCACTCTGATAACAACTTGGGAGCACGCTTCATCAAAAAATGATAACGAACAGAAGGTGAAGACAGCAATTATACTGTTGTGACGTTTGCAAATTAACGAAAGAACATCTTTTTCTTTTTAGCGCGAACGCGTAATGACAGCGAAATTGCTTACGAAACAGTAATATATTGAGGTTATAATGAGAATTATTAGAAATAATACAGAGTGTAGAGAGTTTGGAATTCAATGGACAGAAGTTCAATAAAGGATAAAATAATTATTTGTTTTCAACAAATTAAAAACAAACGACGGTCCCATAAAATTCACCTGTTTAGTTTAATTCTCTAAAGTTGGATTAATTTATTGCGAAATAATATAAATGCAAAAAGTTGAACTCTGACAACAAATTAAATCAGTGTGTTTAAAGAAAGGAGCATAGTAAGTTACAAAGATTCCTTAACAGGGTCGTCACATGGTTGAGGGCCGTAAGTTTTCGCAGCTTTTTTTACGCATTTATGTCATAGATCTCTGGAAAATCCTCGAAATCCGCCAAATATCATGTCCCACGAAAATTCTGCTCCACATAATATATATCTTTCTATCTTGGAAAAAAAGAAAGCAAGTACAGAACTTATCGTAAGAGACAATTAACCTAGTGACATAAGTTTTTTTCCCTTGTACTACCCCAAGGCATTCCTCACTTGCTTTTAATTTTCCAGTAAAAGTGAACCCGAACTCTAGCCCTCTCACAGGTTGCTAATATCCGTGCCACCGGCCAAACAGGAAAGCGGGAGTTCAAAATCAATAGTCGAAAGCAGTGATCAATAGACAAATTTTAGCTTTCTACCTTCTTTTACGAAGAAAAACGAAAACGAAACGCTTAACGAATTGTTTATTTCTTGCCATAACGTTTACAAAGCAAGAAATAAGTTCCTAAAAATACTAATAAAAGCCAATGGCGAGTAAGCCCAAGGTAAGTCACTGGGCTAATAAGGAATAGGCTCCCTAAATTTAATAATTTTAATGAAGTAAAAATAACATTATTTTTCCCCTCAAGTTACAATTTCTTTTTTTTTTTCATCATTGTTATACCTGATGTATCACTTACCATAAATAACAGTAAATGCCTTATACCCATTTTGCATACATCAATGCAAAATAACAATCACTTACTGTGGTGTCATTTTTTGGAGTGCTCGGTAGGACACTCGTCAACGCGGTTTATTGGAAAACCGAGACGGAATCCTTTTATTGTTCTCTTGTTTTATTTTTTCTTTGCGTTACTACTCCTCACTTTAACATGCTGTTTTTTTTTTTGTATTCTTTTATTGTAAATTTCCTTTAGAGAAATGAGGGATACCAACGGGCATCGTAACACTTGGTGAGGATAAAATAATGCTGGAACGTTTGGAGTGAGACAGGTAGAATTATTTCCGAAAAAGAAAAAAGAGCCTGGTTTGCAGCATTGGTCATCGAGTTTGTTGTCATCTTTTACTGGTGGGAACAATTAGTGGGAACAGTGACCGGACTTTTACTAATATTTGAACCAGATAACCTGGAGAGGGACCTGGAACTTTCAACAGCTTTCAGCTGGGAATCATTT